ATTTTTATTTAAAAGTAATTTATAAACAGTCTAGTTTCTTGTTTTAATCTTTACTGTATTCAGATCGGCGTAAACATGGCGTAAACACACTATTCAACCACAGCTTCCTGGGAATTTACTTAGGATTACTACACGTGTGATTTGTTGTTAATCACACGCGTAGTGACTAACAAGCATGAAATTGAATCGATTATAGTGAAATTAGAGAGATTCCTGTATTATGTTATTTATTATTCGGGTAATAGTGAGAGGTTTAAGCATAGTATATGTAAGGGAAATATAATTTTATTTTATTCTTTTTAGTGCATTTAAATAAAAGCTTGTTTTAAAAAAAGTCATTTTTGTCTTTTTAATCTTTTTTTTACTTTTTGGTTAACGCTGGATATAATCGTGGGCTTCTAAAGCCTGATATTCTCAGCAAGTCCTTTCATTTGATACCCATAATTATTGTAAAAACGTATAAAAAACTTAGTCCACCGACTTTTTAAGTCCGCCATATTGGATTAAAGGTGACGTCACTTTATTTTTCGAGTTATTTTTAGCAAGCCAGCCAAGTGCATCAAAAATAAGTAATCCAATAATCTTGGGTGTATTGAAATGAATTTTTATTTTATTGTATTGTATTGTATTTTAGAATGACGGCTCACAGCTGCATTTTCATCCAAACTAAATGTGTGTACGAAGTTTCAGCTCAATCGAATTAAGATTCTGCTTCATAATTGAGTTACAAGATTCCACCCGAACATGCAAGTTAAATAAAAGCTTTTAACTAAAATAGAACTGTGGCGAATTTAACAGTTACTTTTTCATGACTACTTTGTGTGGAATTTACAACAACCCACCTAAATTTGATGCAGTTTAACTTAAGCCACAGAACTTTATATCGATTTTTTCTCAACGAAAACATGTGACTATTTATACAAATTGTAATTAAGGTATTGTCGCAATAATTCATATTAATTTTCTACGCCGTGTTCTAGATTTCGTAAGTTGGCATAATGATGTTTAGTATTAAGTTACAAATATTGTAGTGCAAGTGACGTTAATAAAGCCATTATTTAAGTAAAAGCTGAAACCAGATAACGGAACGTCCTTAATTAGAAGACTTCTTTACAGAGTAACAAAAATCTTAAAAGGAAAACAACCCCCTTGACTCAATGTCACCTATTGTTGTTAATCTATTGTCGTTACCTTAATTAGGTTCACGTTGTGTTTTTACACCTGGTGAATATTATATTTCAGTCCTTTATATCAGTTCTCTCTATTGTCTTTTTTCTGAGATTTTTTTTGCTTATATTTTTTAATTTATTATTTTTAATTGCTTTTATTTTGCGTTATATACAACTCAGCATCAAAATCTGTGAGTGAAAAATCACCTATATTTCCCCACTTTTGGGGTAGGAATTTTTGTTTCCAAATTTCTCTAGCACCAACTTTAAGGTATACCCTATCCAATAAAAAACCGGCTAAGTGCGAGTCGGACTCGCGCACCGAGGGTTCCGTACAAACCTGAATTTCCAAATTTTTTGAAGTTATACTTCTTTAGGCGCGTTGTGAAAAATTGATGAGAGTGAAATTTTAAGATGCGCGCGCATCATGTAACACTAAATTTTAACACCATGAAGTTGGTCGCTTTAGCGACCAACTTCATGTACCGCGCTGCCATTACCGCGTCGCCCGCCGCACCGTACACATGCGCGGCCACTCGCGGTCCTAGCGCGGGAAACACGTGCAACAAACATCGGGAAAAGTTACGAGTTTTGAATTTAGAACAGAGACTGTTTTCATATCTATATATATAAAAATGAAACCCGTTTTCCGTTGTCACGACATAACATGAAAACGGCTTGACCGATTTGGCTGTTTTTTTTTTTGTAGTTTTCTAATACTCTGTACAAGGTTCTTACGGAAAAAAATATAAAGAAAATCCCAAGGGGATAAAATAAGGAATGAAAGTTTGTATGAAACTTTATCAATTTTAAACCGATCGTGCTGAGACTTTGCATGCAGGTATAAGAAAAATCATAGATGAATGTCATTGTGTATAATACAAGCCTGAGAACAAAAACTGTAGTCTACACTTCAGCTCTAAACCGAAGCGAAGCGAGGGCGGGCCGCTAGTTTATAATATTTATCCACATGTTTCTAGTTTGTATATTCGGAATACGTGTTTGAGTTTCATACAAGTGCAAATCACATATGTTCTAATAAATTATATTCAGTAGCGATTTTAATTGAATATTTTGATTATTTATTTATTTTTTCAAATTAAAACTGAACTTTATTGACTGTGTCCTTTTCCAGACTTTTTATTAATTTATTGTAATTAATTATTTGCATGCAATTAAAAACTAATTTTAAACGATGCCAAAGAAGGATAACTTCTCACGCGCCTAAATAAGTACACGCACCCATTTTTTTATTATATGATGTAAATAAAAATTTACGGGTTTCGCAATTTTTTCTTTATCTCTACTATAAGCCGTTACTTTGTACCATATTTCAAGATTCTAAGTTTACGGGAAGTACCCTGTAGGTTTTGATTCCCGTGCGAGTTTCGAAAATTTGCGGCACAAACGGCTGTATATTATGATTGCTTTGACTTAAAAGTTTGATTTTTTCGCAGTTCCAAGGGACAGTAAACCTGAGTAGTAGAGCATGTATTTCAGTTTGATACCTCCACGCGTTCCTGAGAAAAACGGTCTTGACAGACGGACGGACGGACAACAAAGTGATCCCATAAGTATTCCGTTTTTTCCTTTTGAGGTACGGAACCCTAAAAACGGCTAAGGGCGTGTCGTTCCACGTGGAGTGTAGGGTTCCGTAGAAATCCTATTTTGTTTTTTTATTATAGTTTTTTTATTTTGTTTTTTAATTAAAGGTTTTACGCGATATAAGAAAGCAATTAAAAATGTTCTTATACCTATCTTGAACGACTATTACTCTTAAACTAACTGATCTTTCTTAACCTTCATAATTTTCTTTGAAAGTTCATGAAGAGCACTATTATTATGTTTTTTATCAGATTTTTCAAGCCTAGAGAAACAAAAATTTGCACTTAAGGTTTAATATTTCAAAAACGAACCCCGCAATCGAAAAATAAAATAGTCTTAGCAACCCCTAATTCGTTTTAAATCTGTAGACGATGAAAATAAAACACGCCCCATTTTACATGTAGGGGAGCTACCCAAAAAGTTTTATTTTTGCCAAATTTATATGGGACCGATTTCGGAGTATACCGTTTCCAATGAAAAAGGATTATCAAAATCAGACTTCTTTGTAAAAGTTATGCGTGTTCATACATAAAAAAATAAAGGCGTCGACTTGATAATCTCCTTCGTTTTTATCGTCGGTTGAAAAAAGGTTCAAAAGTTCGTAGCATGTTTGTTCTAAAAATGTAAGAAATCATAATTAGTAATATAAGCTTTAACCACATACTTAAGCTTCTTGATTACAACATTGTAGCTTACCACAAAGATAATGGAATCGCATTCCTTTACCCCTTTACGAAACGATGCGGCTATTTAGATGTCGTCATCAGTGCAAAATATAGAGATTACCGGAAAAATGTATTATGGGGATATTTGAGGCTACGACTGCTGCTGACATATTCTCGCGTATTCGTTCATCACTAGCCTTTAATTTGCAAATTTTTCATGAGATGACGGCAACATGAATCTGAGAATGGCACATATCAAAATTCCTAACGTATATATCGCGTACCTAATCAGAATGACAATAAACTCGCGTTATCATTGTATAGGGATTTGTTTACTTAGTGTGCGCTTTGTTGCGCTTAATTGAATATCAAAAGGTTGGGTTAACGCCATATAAGTGTTTTCTTTGAAAATGCAAATATAGCTTTAAAAACATCTTACTTTAAAATAAGACAAGTATACAAGAAATAGTGCCAGCAAAAGTACACGACGTTGTAATTTTACGTTGATCTAAGAAAGTACTAAATAGATCAGTATTTTAATAAGCGTGTTTTAATCCTCGGAAAACTGTAGGTATAAGTACATATATACTGGGACATAAAGGGTCTGTTTTTAATTTCTCCAAGTTTAAAAGGAAATTTCAGTTTAATGAGTTTCCGAGAATATTTCGATTCCCTTCTCTTCCAGTGATTTTACTTGTTCCAGCCTATGAGGAAATGTTTTGAGTATGGTATGGTATGGAAGCTATAATGTTTGTTCTTTATAATAATTACCATATTGGGTACTTTTGAACGTATTTGTTTTAACGTTTATTGTACTTACAGTAAGAAATTAATTAAACCTTAAAATCTTCCAAACATGCATATGTGCTGATGTGTTAGTCGTGATGTGAACCGTTTGTAGATTGGTACACCCGTTTTATTGACGTTTGCTTGGTTTGATTTCAAAAAGCTTAACTTAAACGTATAATTATTTTTTGCTGATAGCCTCAATGTATTCTTTTAATACTATCTGGAACACCGACGTGGTTGATCTAGCGATATGTGTATATTTATTTAGTTATTAATAATACGTTAAAATATATATTTTATATAAAGCTGAACAGTTTGTTTCATTGAACGCGTTAATCTAAAGAACTGCCTACGTATCCGATTTATTTTTTTATTGTATTGGATACTTAGTGCATTTATGTATAACATAAGGATTCGACTGATAGGAGCGGAGCTTACACAATAATCATGTTACGGAATTTTTTCCCTTTAAGAGCCTGCGCTACGTTAAGCGGGAGCACAGAGCGGTCCGCGTGTTTGTTTCATATTATTTCATAGAGTAGCGTTGCGTGAGGCGGGTCTCCCGCTCAGTGCTGTTCAATGAAATGATATAAAAACTGTTCTATAAAAAAGTCCGGGACAGCATAATACATATTATTACAATTTTTTAGGGTGTTTACCCTAATATCTTCTACCTTAAAATCTATGTTAATGGTGACTCAAAATAATCTTTTTCCTTAAATTAATGTGGATGAAACTGCAGGGCACCTAGTAAGTAATATTTATCCCTCAGTGGTGATCCTGAGTGTGCGCGGTCCTCTGGTTCGTGAATTCCTGCTGGCGGCGCACTCTCTCGGCATGACGCGAGGAGACTGGGCCTTCCTCGATGTGGAAATATTTCAAGTAAGTAGTTTAATATACAATTACTAGCAAACCAGTGAACCAAATGTTCACCAAAACCTGATTTAAAAAAAAATGTATTTCATTAATTGAGAACTTCGGAGATTTTGTATGGTTTCGTTTGAAATAGAAATCACGTGATTTCTCGAAAACCGGAAGTGCTACGTTACTCACATCCGGTTTGTAGTCTTATCAGACTATTCTCAACTTATAACTTAAACATTCTCTTTATCTATCTCTTACGGTTTGGCCGCTGAAACAGCACCACGGACGGACGGACGGACGGACTTATCTAATAGATAAGAGATGATAAAAAATAGAGATATCTTTAAATTAGATTTTCAAAAAAAAAAAGATTAACGGTCGCAATCGGAAGTAAAAAACCCTATTCTTCGGGTGTCACACTCTATACGCGCTTGCAAAAAAAAACCTCTTTAATAACTTCTTGTTCTGCAAAGATGACTTATTTTAGTTATGTCAAAATAATGGTATTGAACCAATGTTTAAAACTATCTTAAAACAGAAAATAAAAAAATAAATCAGTTTAATTAAATCATTTTAAAGCTTCACATGACTTTATATTGTTTTGTAAGGATCACTACAGTTGTTAGCGGGATTGCTACCGTGTACCTTGTTACATGTACATTTGTGAGTCTGCTTACACAAATAATTGCGGGTAGATGTTATTGGCAGACCAATAACATCGACTCCTTGATCATGGCGCTTGTAATAGTAGCGAAATATCGGGGACGCAAAAAAAACAAGGTATGTGGTACCAATTCACTCTACTTTGCTCTACTCTTCAATTTAGTAGTATTATAATGCGTTTAAAGTTTGGGAATAGCTACAGTTTAAGATCTTTTCAATGTTAACTTCTTTTAAATTATTATTTTATATTATGGGTATAAAATTCGACCTTTTATTTGATTTAAAATTTCCGTTACATCATAATTTTTGAGGCAAAATTTTGTATTTACAGTGATTTTCTTTACCAGATTAGTAATTTATTCGTAATTCGTGATGCGTATTTTACCGCTAATTAGAATCGTTTTATCTACGAACATTATGTTGATATTTCTTCGTTCAAATGTTTAACAATTGTAAAGGTATTCATTTGACATTGTGGGTAAGGTAACCTACAAAGAGATGGCGCTGCCTTGCTGCTTAAGAAAGGCTAGAGAAATTTCGACACGGCCATCAGGGCCGCGGCAGCATAATGTTCAGTGCATTTGCCCGGCGACGGGTTCGGGTGCCGTCTGCTGCCGGGTCCGCGTTGAATATTTTCTAGTATTCTTTTTTCATCTATACATCTAGCAGTTAAATACTTAAAAAATAAAAAAAATGTAACGTTATGTTAACTCATTTATGTGGATACAAGGCAAAGAAGAAATATAGAAACAGTATCTGGCGTACTACCGCTCTACAATGTAGCTCTCATGTTGCTCTACTTTAGTTGACGTTGACACATGGCTCGGATTACAATTAGGTTCTCGACTTTACAATGTTCTTGACAAGATAGAAACTTAAGTGATGAGATACTAGCTTAGTTGACAACGCAGAATGCGTTTAACGTAACGTATGAAAGGGGAGCACGCAATCCCGCAACTTCATCCAAATCTCCGTATGTATTTGTCAAAATAAAATATATATACTGATTTGCAGGGATTATGTATAATTAGGCTATTTGGCTATTAGGCTTTTGTTATTACATTAGGCTTATCTCTAAAAGAGGTCTCTTCCAGCCAACCAATCTTATAATATCGTAGTCTTTAAAATTATTACATCAATAGTACTCCAATCCAATCCCAATTGTAACAATTCAATTACACAACAATATACAATTACAAAAGTATCAATTTTATGTTGGTTGATTGCAATAGATTTATAGGTACAGATGTACCAAATTGCTCCATTCTATGTAGGATTCGCATTGCAATTGCATGCAACACAGTTTATTTATCACAATACTGCATCGTTGTAACGTTTTATTTATTTAAACTTTATTGACCAGAATATAATCAATGGTACAAAAGGCGGACTTAATGCTAAAAGCATTCTCTCCCAGTCAACCTTTGGGAAAAATGAAAAAACACGAACGGCGGTATAAAGCTAAATACGAATATATGTACAAAATAACATAGATACATATATAAATACATACCATAAAAACAATATAATACATACAAACATAAAACACTAATATTTACATGATGGTGATTAAAAAGTGACACTTCATCTTAAATTTTGCAACAGATGAGCTGTCATATTATTGCGGTAAATCTTATAATAATATTATTTTAACGTTAAGCTACTCTCCGCTTGAGTAAGCAACAATACCTTTCTTGATAAGTCTATTAAAACAGAATTTATTCAAAACGGATATTAATTACGTTTACAAAAATAGGCCACTATGAAAGATGAGGTGCTCGACGGCGCGGGTGGTTAGCGCGTTCGGCTGCGATCGTTGAAGTTAAGCAACTTTCGCAGTGGTCGGTCATTGGATGGGTGATCAAAAATCTTCTATCTCGAGTTTCTGTTCTGCGGAAGGTACGTTAAGCCGTTGGTCCTGGCTGCATCTGCAGTCGTTAGCACCCGCCAATCCGCAATGGGCCCGCGTGGTGATTCATGGCCCAATCTCCCTATTCCATCCATAGGAAAGGCCTGTGCCCCAGCAGTGGGGACATTAGGCTGATGATGATGAAAGATGAAGGATCTGTGTTATTGACATACATGATGCATCACTACTTGTAGGTCTAAATTTTTGAACCATCCATCCATCCATCAGCCTTTCTCCGTCCACTGCTGGACATAGGCCTCCCCCATACAACGCCACAATGCGCGGTCCTGCGCTATCCGCATCCAGCGGCTCTCAGCACATTTGACGATGTCGTCAGTCCACATTGTTGGGGGCCGCCGCCCCAAGCTGCGTCGCCGCGTGGTCGCCACTCGAGGGCCTTTCTTATGCGCGGTCCTGCGCTATCCGTATCCAGCGGCTCCCAGCACATTTTCCGATGTCGTCAGTCCACCTTGTTAGGGGCCGCCCCACGCTGCGTCGCCACGTGGTCGCCACTCGAGGACCTTTCTTACCCAACGGTTGTCAGATCCTCGAGCGATGTGGCCTGCCCATTGCCACTTCAGTGTGCTAACTCTTCGGGCTATGTCGCACACACCGGTTCTTCTACGGATCTCCGTATTTCGGATCTTATAACGTAGGGAAACACCGAGCATAGCCCTCTCCATAGCACGCTGTGCGACTCTTAAGTTTTTTTAACAATAGAGCTTTATCGGAAAGTGGAGCACCTATCCGGCCGGATACTTTTTTACTATACGTTTTGTAGAACAGTTTTTTGATCCTCTACAAACTATGCGCGAAGGTTATATGACGTGAAGTAATATAGCAAGCTACTTATAATTTAATAATGTTCCATGTCTCTAGATTTTCCGGTAAAAGGGTTGTCTCAAGTTCTTATTAACACATACCTAATTACACGGAAACGAAGTATCTTCTCCCAATTACAAGAGGTAAATTTGTGACACGTGTCTAAAACAAGAGGTATTGTATAATAATGATATCGTTAAAAAAAACATGCTTTTCATTTTTAATATTACTTTTACGTTTTACGAGTCCACTTTCTATAAGAAGTAAGGATGTCTTTCTCTAAGACTTCATATTATTAATGTACCTAATCTAATTAATAGCAAACCGCGGATATTTTTCGAGCATAGGTGTTCCAATGTTTCAATTACCCGAATAAACAGGGTTTATTTAAAAACACCAACAACCTCTTAGGGGGTGATTCTACCCCTCAACAGGAACAACTTTTACTATGGGACCAACGCTGAAATCGCGAAAAGAAATCTGCTGTTTCATACAAAAGTTAAAGTTAATCGACCGAAATGTATGAAACAGCTGATTTTTATTCGCGCTTTCAGAGTTGATCCCATAATATCAGTTGTTCCTTGTTAATAAAAGTTGTTTGTTGGTGTTTTAATATTGACCCTGTAGAGACACTTGGAAATAAATTTTTGTCTTAGAATTAATTTAAATTTAATACTGATAGACAGGTTTTAATTGACAGTCATTTCATTTTAACATCTCCGTTATAGTCCGGACATAAAGCGCATACCACATTGGCAGCGAAGCGAACTCGTTAGAAACGCGTCGATGTTATTTGAATGATTTTCATATTCAGAAATAAAGACAGAGTCAAACTGAACCAGGGCCCAGGACCACGAATTTAAATTTCAAGTCGGTTGTAATTATAAATATAATATTAAACGGGTTACAACGCGCATTTGTGGCGATTGATGTCGCTCCCTTTCCACGACCGGTGTAACCTGGGGGTCTACTCTCTTTGTTCGAAACGAACTTTCGATAACGAAGTTCAAACGAAATTTAATTTCGTCAATTTAAGGTTATTCTTAATTTGAACGATAAACTATCAAATTGTAGCTTTATTTGAGTAGGCTTAAAAAATCTACACCTTAATTTATATTCCGACGACGAATATTATTATAATTGAGGAGCTGGCGCACAAACGCTATAATTACGCATATGGTTTTGACCATATAAAACTTTATTTTTACAGCCCGGAGGTTACGTGCCAGCTGAATTTGAATTTCAACTCATGTCAATCAAAACCGCCTAAATATTATAAAAAAAAGGTAAATTTAAAAAATCAAAAAACCCGACTGCTTAATTATACTTCAAATAAAAACTGAAAAGAAAAAAACAAGTCCAGTAGTCTATAATTCTGTTAATAAGGAACAAAGCTACTTTAACAGTCGGGACCCATTAGATATTCAAGAATACATAATATTTTTCAACAGTGGGTCCCGACTGTTAAAGTAGCTTTGTTCCTTATTAACAGAATTATAGACTACTGGACTTGTTTTTTTCTTTTCAGTTTTTATTTGAAGTATAATTAAGCAGTCGGGTTTTTTGATTTTTTAAATTTACCTTTTTTTTATTTCACACTTTTTAGTTAGTTAGTATTTTAAGA